TACGCCCAAGTAGCAGCTAAGTGCCATTTTGATACCATATACCTCGAGTGAATATGCTAGTACCAACCGGCGTGGTTGATGAAGTTGGGTATGTTGTGGAGACTTATATAAGATAGCTCTCGTAACGATGTGAACTCATATGCTCCTAGCATGGTATTTCCGCTCCTCATTAGAGCTGGACATATGCAAAGTAGGTGTTCTACTGTTTTCTGCTCGTTCTCATCTCTGCAGCTTCTACAGAAGTCGTTGTCGGCGATTCGCAGCCTTCTCGCGTGGATATCAATCGGCCATTGCCCAGCAAGAGTCGCAACAATCCAAGCAACGTTAGATCTGGGTTTCTTTAGTAAGTTGTGAGTTCTCTCAGAGTTGTGCGTAGGCCACAAGGGTTTAGATATACGGCAGCTTGCCGCGGTGTGCCATCTTTGGCGCGTTTTCCGGAGATTGTGGGGAAATATGTCTTTATATAAGGTTCCAATTGGGGGTGAGATCCGGTCCTCCATCGACACCACTGTGGAACCTAACTCTGGCTAACTCGTCTGCGGCCTCTATTCGGGGAACGTTGCGATGACCAGGGACCAAAACTAAATCTAAATCGAGTTGAGTACTTACTGTATTTAACACCGTCCTACACTCCTTGATTATATTCGACCTTGTTGTAAAAGACGCTAAGGCCTTAACGATCACCTGGCTATCTGGGAAAATGGCTACACGCTCGCAGTGACGTATTCCACTACGCTCTAAGAGACGGCAGCCTTCGGCTACAGCGAATACTTCTGCCTGGAAAGCACTCGAAAAATCGGCCAGATGAATTGATCTTTTTACTCCCAGGGACTCAGAGTAAATACCTGCTCCAACTCCGCGTTCCATTTTGGAGCCATCGGTGTACATATACACAGGGCTCTGAGTCTTATAGAGTCCATAGTGATGCGGTGTGCGTTTGTGAAGGTCTATACAATGGTGAAGGTCATTGACGATGGGCTTCAGTCTTTCACACAACTCGAGAAGACCTTGTAATCTATCTTTAAAAGCTGAGCCCGCGGTAGTTGGCTCGAATGTTGCGCTCGGTTTTCTTTTGGATTGGGTAGGGCATACTTAAATTCCAGTCGTCACGCATGCGTTCGTTCATCTGACCATATTCCGCATAAGAGCAGATGCATACACCTTATTAGCTCCTCGCCACCGTACTTGAATAGCTCGTCTGGAAATCTGTCAGCTCCAGCAGCGTTGTTTTTTTCAGCCGCATAATAGCTATTCGAACCTCGTCATACTCAGGCTTTGAGAAATCGACGCCATCGTCATCGACTGGGGGCTCGGTTCGCTGTTACCATTCAATAGGTTGGAAAAGTGTTTCCTCCATAATTTAAGTACGTTCTGGACATCAGTCACTAGGTCGCCATTGTTGTTCTTAAAAGAGTTTGTCTTGATCTTGAAACCTTCCGTAAGGCGCCTAACTCTCTGGTAAAACTATCGGGCATTTTTCCTGCCTTTCAAGCTCTTCGCACTCACGTATTTCGATCCTTCCCTCTTGAGTTGCCTATAGCGGTCCCACATAGCTCGCGTTGCTTCCTCTCTGAGAGAAGGTGCGTGAGTCGAGTAGCGAATGTATTGACCACCTTTTGTATGTGACTGCAGCTTTTTGACGTTAAGCCTTGCATTGTTGGGCGCACTTATTTGGCTGAATAGAAATGGAAGCTTATCTTGGCTGCAACAAAATAATGTGGTCCGAGTCGATCGTTGGGCCTCGGGGCGCACGTGCGTCGAAAACACAAGCGTGGGTTGATTGTAATTTACAAATTAACTTGAAGTTTAATTTGTACGTACGCTTCACAGGGGTAGAAGGACGATGAGATCAAACAACAATTTTACTACTGTATAGATCAACAATGGCATTGGCTCTGCCTTGATTTGCATTGTACTTGGCGACTTTAACGATAAGGTAGGCAAATAAGTCATATTTGAACTAACAGTCGGAAAGGTAGATTGAATGACTCAGCTACGGCACCGAACACGCTAGCTAGCAATACCCGACACTAGCTGCGAAATATTGCCAAAGCCATTTGGCCAGCTATATATATTTATTTGT